ATTTGCTTTTTGTATTGTTTTGCAGTTGTATTTATGGTCCATTATCTTCTACTACATTTGCTACTTGACAGTAACAATCTCTTCATTCAATAGATTTGTGCTTGCATTAGTGAGAATTTCAAGATGCTAACTTCCATTCTGCTTTATTAGTTTGGAAATAATGTTTTTATAAATCTCTTAAAAAGGTTAAACACTCAGAAAAATTGTATTTACCAAGATTCTTGCATTCTCTTAATCTTGAGTATAAAACTAACATGTTAATAATGACAATTACTAATTGAAACTACTTATGTTTTATACAAATACTAATTATTACCGGTGATAATACAGTAAGCACTTCCAACATAAAAAGAAGAATAACTGTTTAAAAACAAAAAAAAAAAAAAAAAATCAAATTCAAATTATTTATATTTTTAGTATTTGATAATTGATCATATATGTGACTTTAAAATCAATTTTTTTTTTTTTTTTTTTTTTTTTTTTTATATTGATTACATTTGAGAGCACACGTTCCATTTCTTTGCCTTTGTAAATAAATTACATTTATTAAGTCAATAAGACAGTGTCAAAAGGACAATATTTCTCAGGACAACTTTTTTTTTTTTAAACTACCTTCCCTCTCAGGCATTGTTTTAAAAATCAATGTTTAAAATTTTAATAAAACCTAAACATGAAAGTGAATTTATACATTTTCTTTGTTCTTGAGAATTGATAACAAAAATAATAAATACTATTATTATTTATTTGAATGTTTGGCAAATTTTATAAAAAGGTAAATAAGAATTTCCTTATAGTTGGTTCATATATTTTAATAATTTAGTATTTATAAATAAAACATTGTTTTCAGGTTTATTTCTTTATAAATTGGTAAATGATAAATATTACATTAGTTTTTAGAATGTTGTAAATATAAAATTATTCTTATAAATAATCTAATAATTAGTGTTTAATATTTTTGTCTGAAAGTATAAATTCACTTTCATCATGTTTTATTCCATTTCTAATATTTTTAAAACAAATGAAAAGTGAAGGTAGTTTTTTTTTTTTTTTTTTTAACTGTCATGAGAAAAATGTCCTTTTAATACATCTTATTTCAGGCACATTTGTCCATGTTTGCCATTAATTCTTTATTATAAAAAAATTAAAAACAAGTAGTTCAAAGCAAATTCTTCTCACATACTTTTATTTTGTTTCCATAAAGAGAAAAAAAAATACTTTCTCTCCAAATAAAATTTCTACATACTAGAATAATTAAAGGTGTGAATGTCAAATGATCAGAATTAAAGTTACTTAAAAAGTTGGTATTTTAAATGATGAGCAGAAAATTAGTGAATTTAACATGATTTTTCTCTCTCTCCTATTATTAAAAGAAAACTGAATTAAAGTCTTTTCACAATACACTGATATTTGTTTTTTTGATTCTTACTTCAATTAAACCTTTTACTTTTGCAATTGAAATTGTTTTTTTATTTTTTGTAGCAGGCAATTTAGTAATTTCTTTTTTTAATAGGGAGGAAAATATTCGCCTGTTATCAAGATATTTGCAGTGCCACATCGTGCATGGGTAGGTGTCTCTGCATGTATTTCCAGTGGGCAACTCTGAGGCCACATTTAGACTTAGCCATCTTCTGGACAGTTTGTACTGCCATAGACAGGGATAATTATTATTTTGATCCTTTTTCTCCTTAAAATTTCAAATAATCTTCTCATGACAGTTACAATTAAAATATGTGTAAAAAAAACAAAAATCCCCCCCACTCCAATAAGTGTGGTATTCATACTAATTGTTGTAGTTCAGAATCTTTTCTTTTGAAATGTTCTCCAGATATCTTAGCACTTTTTAAAACTAATTTAAACTATCACTACAATTAGATTCTGTTCCATGCTATTTTCATCTTTGTTGAAAAGATTCTAGGATACATATGAATGGCCTTGGTATTTACATCTGGGAAAATCTTCCATTGGCAAGGACCTTTCTTTATTGCACTGTAAACTTACAACACAACTCTTGCCAAAGATTTCCACTGATTACTCCATGCTGCATTTCAATTCTTGATCTTGTTCACTGAAAGCTAGGAAAGGGCCGCTGCATCCTCACAAGATAAGATGAAAGACAAATGCAACATTGAGGAATAAGAAGTGTTTCCTGTTATGAAAGACATTTTATTCAGGGCTTTGCCTGCTCATCTGGGTAGGTAGATCGGTGATATTTGGGATGACTTCTATGTTGGTCTAACAACTCTGCTCTTCTGCTATGAACTCCTCGCCCATCTATTCATCCTAGTGTGGTGATTGGCAATACGAAATGGACGGCACAGGAACCACATGAGAGGGAAGACCAAAACCCTCTCTGATCCCAAGCATGACCTAATACAAACCAGCATCCAGAGATACCATGTTTCCATCTCCAAATCCACTCCTTTACTTCCACATTTAAGTCAAGTAGATGCTGCTTAGAAGAGAAGACCAATCTTCAAAAGAACAACCTGCTGGTCCATCGAACAAACATTTGATAGATAAAACCACCTCTTCCATTTCATAGTATCCTGTAATTTATAAAATCTTTTATAAATTACAAAAAAAAAGACCATACTCTCTGCAACCAAAATTAACATTTAACTTATTCTTTTCACATCTTGGGATACTGTAAAAACTGTTTTCCTAATTCTCAAAGACCTACACACATTTGATTGGGATAATTTCTTTTTCTTTACCTACAAGTACATTAAGTATCATTAAGAATCCAATGAAAATACCCTCTTAATGACCCCCCCCCCTGCCAAACATCAAAGCATTTTCAAACTCCTGCTCCAGTCCTGTTACTGGCCACATGGAATTGTTTTGTCCCCAACCCCATTTATTTTTCAAATGCATCAATATCTTTTGCCCTTCAATTTTCTTTTTAACTGCATTGTTTTTTTTAATTTTTGGTTCTTGTTCTTTCTATTTTATAAATAGAAGTCACATGAAAGTAGTTCATATTGTAAAATGCGTTTTGTTTCTTTGTGCCACAAGTATGTCCTCTTATGATGTGTGGGTATCTTCCTTTCTAGGATTCTTTGTTGCATGTGTGTGCAGTCCCAAAGCTATTAGTTCACTTTTTTTTTTTTGTTGTTTTAATGGCTCTTGAAGGTGCATTCATTTCCCTTTGTTGATAACAGTGTCAGTTGTACCCCCCATGCTGTATTTCAATTCTCAATCTTGGTGTGCATCAAAAGCTGAGAAAGTGCCTCCTGCTCACAAGATCAAAGACAATGCCATGTCAGGAAATAAGAATGCAAACCTTGTTTTCTACATTATAAAAGGTTTTATTCAGGGCTGCACCTGTTTATCTGGGTCGGTAGTTAGGTGATACTTAGCAGAAGTTGTACCAACTCCTCATCTCAAATACAAATGGATAACACAGGAACGACATGGAAAACAAGTCTCATTTCCCACCAAGGGTGGATCAGAACTCGTTCTGATCCCAAATATGACTTAATATAGACCAGCATCCAGAGATATTCTATTTTTGGTTTTGTTGACACTTATCACCCCCGCCCCCCACTTCTGATCAACATTTCTTTACTTTGCTTCCTACCCCCCCTTGTCAAACAATGCAATTTGCCACTGCAGTATCTGTTCATGTGTAATAGAAGAGTCAACAGAAATAAGATATTTCTTTCTGTTGACAGCATACTGATTGAGATTAATTTTGTATTTTCTTCATGATGCTCCTTCACCGAGGAATTTTAAAAAAACAAAAAAAACCTTTCCTGTGCCACTGAGCTTTCTTAGGTAAAATACTTTGTGCCATCTCTGAAATAACATGTGACAGCACAATCTTGGAATCTTCTGAACCTGCCTGTTCAGCTGTATGTATAGTCTGCATGATATACCATCAATTTTTCAAATAAATGAGAAAAAGCCACCAAGTTAAATCTGATTCCCAACTTTTATAAAAACTCAGCAATGTTCAGATAATTATATGTAATATTTGTTATTTATGAACATGTAAAAGTTAGGAAATGAAATTCAAAATAACATTATGTTGAACACAAGTGAGATGAAAGAAAACTTTGTAACTGGCTTTACTTCATCTTTATAAATCGATTAGTTAGGAGTAAACAGTAATAAATTGGATTTAAACCCAACTTGAAATCATATCCAACTTTGGGAGCTCATTCCATTTTTTTTTTTTTTTTTTTTTTGAACAGCATAAAAAATTCAGATGAATTCACTGGCAGCAGTAAAAAGACATTGAAGAAAGGGATTAAGAAAAACTTTGTACAATAAACATTTGTAATATGAATAAATTCAATAACAGAAGACACTCATTTTTATTAAAAGCTGAAATTTACAGAATAAAATTAGAATGGGTTTGGGGTGAGAATGAGAAACTCCTTTCCTTAAAAAAAAATTAAAAAAAGCTTAAAACCGTTTTGCCATTTAAATGCAAATCTGATTAAAATAACCGACATGCTAAATCCAGTTTTCTTATAATTTAAAGATCTTTCAAGTAACTGAGAATCTGAAATGTGGATAGAAAGTTTGTTACACTTTGTTAAAAGGAAAAAAAAAAAAAAAAAAAGATTTATATCCAAACACGACATAAAATTTCGATGATTTTGTAGCCCATAAATTTACATTCACAAAAACAAGATAAAAATAATGAAAAGTTTAAAAAAAAAATCAAAAAAAAATCTGCTTTTGAAATCATTCTAAATGTGTGTACATTTAGTAGGTACATAGACATTTAACTCAAAGTAGGCATTTTGGAACAGAAGAAAATGTGTGTGTTTATATGTGTATATATATATATATATATAAAAAGGAAAATAAATATGTAAGAGATTTTTCTTAAAAAAGTTTCAGATTATGATGAATTTAAATTTAATGCAATTAATGAATATACAGATTTTGTATTTATGAGATTACTTTGTCAAGAGTTGAAAATAAAATTTGACAAAGGCATGAAAATAATTCCAATTGTGGTTATACATATGTACAATTGTAAATTTTTATTCGAGAGTTGGGGAATCAAAAAAGTTTTTTCTTTGCTTGTTGATGTCCCTATTTCGAAGCACAAACCTAAGAAAAAAAGAAAAAAAAGATTCATTTAGGAGACAAATATTCAATTGTGAATACAAATATGTTAAATGAAACAATACAGTGGAAGTGTGCTATTTTTTTTGCTGACCAAAATAGAAATAATCAAAAAATTATATATATATATATATATATATATATAAAATCTCATTCATATTCTTCATTGAAACTCCAAAATTAATAGAAAAGTATATATAAAATAAATAAAAAAAAATCATTTTTATTAAAATCTCATTTTGAGTTAAATGTGAAATATTTTTGAAATGGTATGCACAGAGCTTGAGATTACCATCATCCATTACTTTAGGACAATATATCTTAATTAGAATAATTTTCAACTACATTCTTACTTTTCACTAATAATTGGTTAATAAATGGAGTATGAATACACGCAACACCAAAAACTACTAAATGAAATCCAAATGAAAGTCAAAGGATTTAAATCTAGATATCTGAATCATTCATCAAAATGTTAAACAATACCTGGCAATTATCAGAAACTTCTCTAATTAAAAAAAGAAAAAAAAAGTCAGTCATGTTTTTTTTGGATTGTGAATAGTTCTGAAATGTGTTAATATTCTTTATGTAGAAAATGAATGTATGAAAAAAGTTACTCTGAGTATGAACATAAATAAGAACATTTCCATGTAAAATTATTCAAGTTTATTAAACTGTAATGTTTAAATAAAAATAGATGTGATTAAAAAAAAAACCCAAAAAACTTGTATGTATACATTTTTAAAACTTTAATATCTTAGCTTTTTAAATTTTTGTTACAACCTGAACTATCTGCATTAAAAACTAATTTCAGAATAGTGGCAGTTTAAACATTGAATGCAATAAAATAAATATTTATTTTGTAAACATTTTAATGTTTTTATTCTCTTACTGACAGCTATAAATGATAAAAAGTTAATAACATTTTCATTTTTAGACAATTCAAAAAAGTTTTTAGGATAGTTATTTGTTTCTGGGATGATGGTGATAAAAAGTTAGTTTGGATGGAATACAAGAATAAAAAAAAAATTTATACGTGGTGAACATTATAATGTATGATATTTATTGTATTTTCCTCAAATAAGTGCCCACAGTGCTTATTTAGAAATCAGATCTTTCAAAAGGGAATGCTTATTCAAGAGTGACACTCATCTTTTGTAACTTGATGATTTTCTTTATCCTTAACAAATGATAATACGTTTGTAAGTGTGTGTGTCAAAACACCCCCCAGACTTGTATTTTTCAGAAAATATTATGATTCCTAAATACTTGTGATAAATGTTTGATAACTTGTTCAAGTCTAGGGTTAACCATTAACATTGTAGTGATCAGGGAAACATCCTCTTGGGAGTTAGTTCCACAGAGCAGTGGTTCACGAGAAGAAGTGAAAACAACTTCTCACTGATGAATTGATGGTTTATTTGTTTTACCAGCACGTCAACCCCTGTGGGTCATTTAATGCTGAGAATGGATGTTTTGTTCAGGGATGTTTCAAAATATTTCAAGTGGTTGTGTGGTTTTAAAATTGTTTTATCACAAGTTGTATAGTTTGGGAGCATTTCAAAACATAATTTGTATAATTCAAAATCCAAGTTCTATTTTCTATAAAAGTTGGAAGTATTTTATTTTCTTCAGATATCCTATTATTTGGGCAGAAAGTACTTTTTTGAAGAGCATGTGCTTTATTAAACGACAACACGTTTCTAGGATTTCTTGAATAGAGAAAGGATTTGTGTTCTTTAATTGCTGTTAAACTTGATAGGAAATTTATAATATTCTCAGATTCCCTATCTTTTGAATTTTCTAGCATTTTAAGTGCTGTTTTTATGGCTTGTAGTTCAGCTGTCTACATGAATGCATTATCTGGTAGCCTGGTTTGTTTGTAAATTTGTCTGTGTGGCTGCTGCACTTATTCAAGCTAGGATCTTTGATCCATCTGTGTAGAATGGTTTATAGTTATGATATTTGTCTCTTAATTCTCTGTATATGCTTTTGCTGATTGTATCTTTTTTTATGTGTCAATGTTAGGTCTATATGAGATTTGGAGATAAGGCTACCTTATTTATTGTAACTGGTGTTATGTTATCAAGATCTTTGTTTATTTGTTCTAGTGCTTCTTTGATTCAAAGTCCAAATAAAGGTGTGGCTGTTGGTTTAGTTCTATAGAACTGGATATATTGAGGTTCATATGATTTTTGCATTCTGGACTATTTGGGTTGGATCATAGTTTTAGTGCATATTGGAGGGACAATTTTTCCCATCTCAGATATATAAGTGGTTTATTGGTTTTCTTCAGAAAGGATTTACGTACAGCATTGTAAATAATGGATCCATAGTCTAGTTTTGAACTGATTCTTTTTGGTTGGCACACCAGTTCAATTTTGATATTACATTTATAAGCTCCAAAAGCCTTCTGGCATTTTTTTTTAAAGGGCAATTAATGTGTGGTTAAGTTTGCTACCTAGATATTTTATTTGTTGGGCTATGGGTATTATGTGTCCATTTAATTTTAATTCTGGATGGGAGTGGTAGGCTCGTTTTTTTTTGCAGAAATGCATACAAACAGTTTGTGTTTTGGAGAAATAGAATCCAGTTTCATTCGTCCATTTTTATATCTTGTTAAAACAAATTTGAATATATCTTTCAAGAGAAGGCATACTTGGTGATGAGTATGATATTGAGAAAACATTTACATATAGGATAAAATGCTAACTTGAGGTACTTCTACTTGTGTGTCTGATGCATTTCCATTACATACTGTGAATGTTCAGTTTGATAGGTTTTGAATGAATATAGCCATTCTTCCTTTCATTCTCATCTTGTGCAAGTCTTTTAGGATACTACACTTCCATGTGGTGCCATAGGCTTTTCCAAGATCAAAGAATATTGATACCACATGATGACCTCGAACAAAGCCATCATGAATAAAGGATTCTAGCTGTACAAGTTGTTCCTTGGTTTTTCCAGAATCCACTTTGGTAACTCGATAAAAGATTGTTTCTCTCCAAGTACGACAATCAGTGTATTCTGAAGCTCCAGCCAACAGGGTGGTTTCTCACCGATGAAATAGCGGTTGAGGGGGCTTGCCTGATATCCTGTTGCGTCCAGGACAAAAAGGCGGGTTCTTTGATGATCTGGGTTAGTCCATAGGCAATGGAGAAGTCATGGTAATATCTGCCTTTTGCATTGGTTTTGTTCAAGTGGACTAACCACTCTGTGGTGGATATTGAAGTCACCACAGATATGAATGCTGGCCAAGGGAATATTAGTGAGAATGTTATTGATCCTCTCAGATATTCGAGTGAAGATTACTATCCCTTCGTCCCGAGGGTGATAGAGAGCAAAGACAACAGTGGTACTACAGATAAGTGCCATGCGGAAGCACGTATATGGGAGATCAGGGTCATTTTTTTTTCCTTCATCCTCATCACTGGGAAACTTGTCCATGACAATATAGGTGGTCTTGTTTTGCTATAAGGGGAGAGTAGCCTGGGATTATGAGCTCCTGTATTGGGATTGAAGCATTGATACTGGCTTCAGACAGAAGATAGTTATACTTTTAGAAAGTTGGAATGTAGACCCCTCACACTAGTGTAAGAGATGGTATAACTGGGATTTATTTTTTTTTTTATGTTTGGTTTGCTAGTTTTGTTCATTTTCAGTTTAAACAATTTCATGTGTGTATAGGTAGGTGGAAGATTAGTAGGCAGTGAGACAGACACACATGCATATGTAATCTGAATTTGTCCGGAGATACTGCTATAACAGTACCCAACATCATGGCATCAAGAGGCTCCACCAGAGACTACTGTATGGTTCAGAAACCACCAGTACAGTAACCCTAATATTATACACTTACTGATAGGATAGCCTCCTTTCAAATTACTTGATGGTCAGATCCCTGACTATCAGGCAGATGATGCCAAAACCCAGAAAATGTCTACCGCCAACACCCTTAATGAAGGGACAAACAACCCAGGGAAGAAGACACAGGTGTGATACTCCAAGTATATATGTCTCACCTGTCCAGCAGTCAAGGCCAGAAACACACTACTGGCCTGAAGACACATATATGAGGACTAAAAGGCCCATTGGGAGAGGGTGGTGGTAATGAAGTGACCTAATATTTTATTATATTTAAAACACTTTATTTTTAATATCTTTAAAAATGTTTAACACACTTGCATTGTATGTTAAGCTGGGAACTAGCAGTAGTCACTCACCATACTTGGGTTGAAGTGGCCTAGATACCTCAATTCCATCTCAGATATAACATAGTGGAACCTTTTATTTCTTTTTTAATATTTAGATAAAAAAACAAAAACAGTATCATTCCAAGCATGGCAGTACAGCTGCTAAGATGTAAAGGGTTACAGGCTGTGGAAGAGAAACATTAGTAAGGAGTAGAAACAAATCAGGACAGTAGATAGGGACCGACATTAATTTCCAAAAATTTAAATGTAAAGTGGGCTGGAAAGGAGTTCCACAAGCAAGAAGTGTGAGGATAGAAACTGTTAGCATAGAAGTTAACAGCTACATCTTACTAGCTCAATTGTAAATCGATGAGATCTCGCTGCTAGTTTAGTATTGTGCATAAATTCATATAATCTAGGTACCATAGCAAAGAGCTCATCTGAACAGTTACCATGAAAGTATTTATAAAAAGGCACAGAGAGGCAACCTTGTGGTGGTGGGCAAGTGACTGAAGCCAAGCTGCCAGATCAGGACCCATAATATTGCTGATTCTTTGGATCTTATCACAGAGATCCAGGTAAATAGTAAAGGCATTGAACCATATATGGCAGCAATATTCTAAACATGGACATAGGGTAGACTTATAGATATGCATGATAGATTCTGGAAAGAAAACTTGCCTTGCATGACACAATGAACCAACTTTTTTAGCAGCTGATCTAGCAATGGATTCAATGTAGTCTTTCCACTTTATGTCAGCTGAGAATGCTAGCCCAAGGAGGCACGAGTTACTTTCCTGGAAGTTAACATCAGCTATGCTGATGGAAGGCAGAGATGATTAACAGAGAAAATGATTAACAGAGAAAATGATTAACAGAGAAAATGATTAACAGAGAAAATGATTAACAGAGAAAATGATTAACAGAGAAAATGATTAACAGAGAAAATGATTAACAGAGAAAATGATTAACAGAGAAAAGTTTAGTTTTAGAGGCATTAAAATTGACAGGTTGTCTTTTGCACCCAGTTGAGGTCATTTTGTACATCAGCTGCCATTTTGACCTTGTCAAACTGATCAGCCTTATTATCAAGGCAGGAGTAAATGGTAGTGTTGAGAGCTGATGTCATCACGAAGGTTGTTCGTGAAGATTAAAAACAGCATAGGATCAAAGATGGTGCTGTAGGGGACACCTGCGTTAATATAGAAGGATCAAGACAAGTGGCCATTCAGGATAACTTTCATTTTGGTTTGATAGGAACGACTGGATCTGCTCAAAAATGTGCCCAGAGATACTGTAACTTTTCAGCTTGTGGAGAAGACCTGTCAACGGCTTTAGAGATGTTCAATGCTATAGCCCAGGCATCACTGTTTTTATCTAGAGCATGATAGTCTTTTCACAATTGTCAGTATATCAGCAGTTGACCTAGAGAAACAAAGGCTGTACTGCTTGTCTGAGAAAAGGCCCTGCGATGAGAGATGATGAACCAATTCAGTATTAATTAGGGCCTCTAGAAGTTCCCCCAAAAAAGGTAGAAGGCTAATAGGCCAATAGTTGGATGGATCGGAGGGTTCACTAGAGTTTTTAAAAACTAGAACAGACAACTTCCAGCCAGCAGGAAGCAGTGAGGCATTTATTATACAGTTTAAAGAGAACAGGAGCTAGTTCAGGAGCACACTTCTTAATGTCTATTACAGGGATGTCATTGGGTCCACGTGCTTTGTGGGGATCAAGATGATAGCAGAAAACATGGAAGGTGTTATATGCATATCACTCAGAGACTCAGCTCTAAGTGGAAAGTTAGGCAGGGTTATGCCAGATGAGTCAAGAGTAAAGTTTGAGGAGAATTTATGGGCAGGCAAAGTATTCAACTTTATCAGCAGAAGATAATAACACTATAAATTGATTGAAGAGTTGGGGGGGGGGAGAGCCCTTCCACTTATTTTCCCACCATACTTATTGCTTACAACACTCAGATCTATATCTGATCCCATTTGTTGATATGTTAGCATGTGGTTTATTAATCAGAGTAATTTTCAGCTCTACAAAACTCACATACTATTAAGATATTTACTGTGAATATAAAATTCTATGTGCAAATCACAAAAAGCTGATGTGCTACTACAATTCTGAGTAGATTTGATTTGTTTTACAGCATATCAACCTCAATGGGTCATTTAAAGCTGCCGACTTTTTTTTCCCCCAATAATATTTTTGTTTTGTTAGAAATCCATTTCTATCGATATTTCTTTCCTCAAAAATTTATTTCTGGTAATAATTTTTTTTATTTATTCCTCTACAGTTTCATTGAAGTATCTTATGTGCATTTGTGATCATTGTTTTCCTATTTGGTTCATTGGATTACTTTGTGTTTCAAGGTTTGTTTAGGTTTTCCCTTTCAAAATTGCACTGCTGACAACATTTAGTTTTCAAAAAAGTATTGATGGTAATAATTTTTTACAAAGAATTTCTGGTATTAAAACCCTTTTACACTTTCAGTGTTTTGACCCCAGTTACAATTCCATTGAATAAGGTTTTGTTAAAGAACGTATAGCTGGTAATATCTTTTTTTTTTTTTTTTTTTTTTTTTAAACGTACAGCTGGCAATATTATTTTTCCAAAAAACGTACAGCTGGCAATATTATTTTTTCAAAAACATATAGCTGGTAATATCGTTTTTCAAATTTCGAAAACGTATGTGACACTATTTGGCTAACTAATTAACCATAGAAATTAAAACAGAAAATAGACATTCTTAAAACGAAAAGAAAGCTATAACAAAAGATAGACAGAACGACGTTAAAAGGAAAGGTTTTAATTTGTTTACAAAAATAGCCCACAGAAGAAGCCACGTTTGAGGTCTTGTCCTGTCAAGTTATAGAAGAAAGGCAATTATGGAATTATCGGCCAAGACACGTGCCGATACAGGCAGAAAGATTCAATGTTAATTATCTTTCCAAGATATTGTTTAATTTCCTTTCTTGGATACAAGCGAAGAGAAGCAATGTGGCAATTATAAAATTTTGGCATTGTCTCAATATAGGTGAGAGGATTGTTATCATTTACTTTGCCAACAGATACTAAGATGACGAATGACAATGTGGCAATTGTAAACTTCCGGCAATCCCCAGAAAATAGTGGAGAATTGAGATTTGGCAAGATAAAATAATTTGGTTTCTTAACAGGCCAGGGATTCCATGATAAAGCTGACTTGGAGTGGGGAACCAGATGGCAAACTTTGACAGTGATTGATGAGTTGGTAGAGAGTGCTTGGTAAGTGAATTTTGGGTGGCCCCAAAAGAAAGATGTGATAAGAATTAATTGACAATCTGGAGTGCGTAAAAATTTTGGCCGATGGGAAATGAAAATTTTGTAAACAACAAAAATTCTAGATTATAATTTTATGGAGGCCAGCTTAGCCACACCCGAACTGCCGAGAGATCATTGGTCATATGGTAGCATGGTGATGGGCGGAGGTGAAGGGATGAGAAAGGCGGAGAAGATGTTAACGCCCACTGAAGGGATTGGTATGAGATATCAATGTGAGAGAAAAAGAGTCTAGGAGGATAGCTTTCCGCCGACCTTCCCTTACAAACGCCTGATTGATTTCGTCTACCTAAGATCAAAGTCACAACATGGGTAGGTTAGACTTGAGATCAAGGCAGTTACTCCAGTAACCAGATGTTGCAAGTGAGCTGTGAACAATAGAGTTGGCATTGAACCGGTACAACTGGTAAAGCCGTTAACATCGACAACCAGAACTTGACCCTGGTGCCACATATTAGTGCCGTAACCACTGGATTCGACTCTGGACAGCTGAATATTGGTATCCTGACCAGGGGATTTCGCCAAGTAGCTACAACCACCGAACAACCAGGACACAGGCTAGTGGCAGCAACAAAGAGTCAACCCCAAAACACTGGTAGAAGAAACCTTACAGCTTCACGCCACGACTAGGAGTTGACCACAGGCTGACGGCTTGGTGTCACACGTATAGCTGATAATACTATTTTCCCCAAAACGTATAGCTGACAACCTCATTTTCTCAAAAACGGCCTTTCTGTTGGAAGTAGTTTATTGCCATACCCAGTATGTGGATGTAGTTTATCGCCGTACCCAGTATGTGGATACAGTTTACCGTCATACTCATGGACGCTGATGCAGTTTACCGTCATACTCATGGACGCTGATGCAGTTTACCGTCATACTCATGGACGCTGATGCAGTTTACCGTCATACTCATGGACGCTGATGCAGTTTACCGTCATACTCATGGACGCTGATGCAGTTTACCGTCATACTCATGGGCGCTGATGAAGTTTACCGTCATACTCATGAACGCTGATGCAGTTTACCGTCATACTCATGGACGCTGATGCAGTTTACCGTCATACTCAGGATGTGGGCTAGACTGGGAGTTCACTATTTGCCCATAGCTGGGAAACTAACAGTTGATACCACCATGGGTCAGGGTGGAACTGGGAACACCAGCAATTAAGAGGTGGTTCCACGCTCCTCAAAACCTCCCGATCAGAGGCCTTGCTGCTGGATGCAGTTCAACATCATACCCAGGACGATTCTGAGCAGAGATTTAGAGTCAGCATACTTGATTTTGTGTAGAGGAGCATCAGTTATCTGGATAGCAGACAAAAGTTTTGTTTTGCTACTCAGAGTTTAAAATAAGATCTTCCCAATCATGTATGTAACAAATTCTGGATGTGCTTTAACAATGCTTAATATAGATTCGAAATCAGACTACTTATGCTACTAATGAAATTTTTGTTGCCCAGTGTTATTTTAAATGGATAAAGAGGTTGATTTGTTTTTGATGGATTATCAACCCCTTTATGAGTTATTTAAAGCTGAAATTTTTTTGCGAGTAAATATTACATTAACAATTTTTGGAGAATAAAAATTCTTCCAGATACAAGTCTTCAGAGATGAACAGAATACTTACTTGGGTGTAGGTGTTACTTGATTGAATTTGCTTGATGAACCTGTGGGGGTTATGCCAACTGGACCCAACATACTGTGCAGAACTACAAGTGAGAAAGAAATAGAATAGAGATCAACAGTTTCTTGAAGTGCTTTTTCAAAATTCACATTAGTTTCAAATTGATTTTCAGTCAGTGAAATCTAACATCTCATCTTATTCAAAATTTTCAAACCAATTTTTTTTATTTTAAGAATTACCATTAATGACATTTTACAATATACTCCTAGTGGTTAAAAATATTCAATTTCTTAAAAATATTGCTAATAATTTGCTGTGTGAAAAGTAGATGCCTATTTTATCCATTTTATTTAAGGAAATGAATATCTATCACATTTAATACATATATTTTTTCCATTCCCTAGAATTGTACTTCAAATCACCCAATTTCATTTTTTTACTGTAATGAATGAGAGAGAGAAAAGTAAAAACAAAAATAACACCTTGTTTATCTTCTGGCGATGTTGGAATATTTTCATCTGGAAAATTTTCTGGTTGGAAGTAATTATTCCAATAATTTGCTGGTAGAACCAATAACTGTTCCATCACCTGGAAAAAGGGAAATTTTATCAAAACTAACCAATTTTTGCCAGGAATTTGAGATGGTATAGTGGTAGAAACATTGTGATGATTACAAAGACTAGGAAATTATTTTGATGAACCAAAATATAAAACTTATAATATATTAAAGAGAATTTAGTAGAATTGGAGGGAAGGCTAGGAAAGAGCAAATAAAGGCCTATGGTTCAATTTCCAATGTTCAATTACTGCAGAAGAGAGAGAATTAACAAAAAGTAAAATTCAATAATTTGAAAAAAAAAAAAAAAAAAAACAAACCCACAGTGAAATATTTTGGCAACTCTAGATTTTAAAGTGTATTGATGATTATATTTTTTATTACTTTTTTTTATATTTTCTTTGCGTTTGAAATCTGATTTTACGTTGACAAAAAACAGCAAAGTACATTTAATATATTCACAATGCAGACCTCAAAAAGAAAGATTCAAGGAAATCAGAAACTGCTCTACCTAGGAGCCTAGTCCCCCAAATAACTGTCAGTAAAAAAAGAATTTTTTTAGCTGGGAACCCAAGTTAAGAATTTTATCAAAACAGTAACTGAAAATTATCTTTAGTTTGTTTTTTTATTTAACCACTGCAATTTTTTTTGGCTTCCCTAGTCAACTTAAAGAAAGAGAATAGATGATGGCCTCTACTGTATCACTATTTTATAGAATGCTTTGGAAAAAATTGTGGCATGTGTCTTCTACAAAAGGTGTATATTGATTATAATGCAGTTAATTACAAGAATAAAGAGAGAAAAAAAACAAACAACAAAAACTAACAACAACAAAAACTAACAACAAAAAAAAAACAAAAAAAAAAAAAAAAAACACAGTTTCATTGTCACTGACCATTGACTGGAGTTTGGTTTCATGTAAAATATCCTTGGCTTCAGGTTCAGGGTGAGAGAATCCTACAATAGTCGGGCCAAACACTTTAGCCAAATTCTGTATTGGCATTCGACACTCTGGAGTGTGGCCAACTCTGAAAGAGAGAGAGAGTGAAGAGGAAAAAGTGGGGACCATGTGCATTTGAGAAAAGAAAAATTCATAACTTTTTTGTTAAAAATTGTTAATTATTAAATTCATCTGGAAAACAAACACATAAATAAACTAAAAAATAAAAATAAAAAATTAAAAAAAATTTATGTTTGATACTATTGTTCCTAGAATACATTTTTTTTAATAAACTCAAAGTGAAAAAGTTGTCAATAACAAAGGGAATCAATATTTTATAAAGTTCTGCAGAGAATGTAAGAGAAAAACAGGAATGAAGATTACTTACAATTGTAAGTGCTTTATGAGGAAGGCTAAAGTATCCCTGTTGGCTGAAGGCAATTTGCTGATGGCTTCATACAAAGCAGTGTCAATAGTATTTTTGTTTTCTGTAGAAAATGGCAGTAAAAATGAAAATTAGTCTAAAAATGACAATTTTTTTAATAATTTATAAAGTTAAAAATTCCTGGTTCATAAACTTCTTGAAAATACTTTTTTTAAACAATGAAAATGAAAAATATTTTTAATTAAAATACAAAAATACACAAATCAAATTTAAAATCCAGTTTTTAAAATTTACCAGTAACAGCCTTAACAAATTCTGGCCACAATCTGTAAGTGATAAGGGATTCTTTGAGATTTCTTAAAAAGTCTTTTAGACATGCACAAACAACATTGATGTCATCAACAAGGCTCTGCAAAAAAGAGGGGAGAAAAAAGAAATCAATTTTCATGGTTAAAAATATTTATTTTAAGTGAAAAGATAAGAAAAGAATATTCAATTTTTTTTAATCAGCTAATTTGAAAATAAATCAGATTGTGCTTGATATGATAAATTCTATATGAATAATATTTCATCATGATTATTGTCAGGGTGTGATAATTGCATGGACCATATTTATAACACAAAATTATAATATTTTGGGGTTTTATTAAAATATCATGCACCAACGATAAAAAAAAATAAATAAAAAATTTTACAATTTTTTTTATTTTCACATTACTAGAGTTTTAAATTGAAATGTGATATCTAAAACTAATAGTTTTCTGAGGATACAAAAAAAAAAAAAAAGATTTAAGATTTTTTTTTTTCCTGGGATACAATTCTGATGAAGTTAACTTACCAAATTTGGTGTTGATTTGCCTTTCCAAAATTTTTCTTTTAGTTCTTTTACTTGGCGTTCAGCACTGCAGCGATAAAATGTAATGAAAATTGGAGAGAAAATGTTTATAAGATGGTGAGGGGGAGGAATGAAATTTTTTTAACAATTTACTGTTGTTGAATTGGTCAAAACAGCAAAAGCATTGCTCATATTGGTTATTAAATTTGACTACAATCACAAACTTTTCCCCAAAAAGAAAGTGAGAAAAAGGAAAGCAACAGAAAAAACAGAGAAAGAGAAAAGAAAACAAAGAGAAAAGAAAACAAAGAGAAAAGAAAACAAAGAGAAAAGAAAACAAAGAAAAAAGAAAACAAAGAAAACAAAGAAAAAGAAAACAAAGAAAAAGAAAACAAGAGAAAAGAAAACAAAGAGAAAAGAAAACAAAGAGAAAAGAAAACAAAGAGAAAAGAAAACAAAGAGAAAAGAAAACAAAGAGAAAAGAAAACAAAGAGAAAAGAAAACAAAGACAAAAGAAAACAAAGACAAAAGAAAACAAAGACAAAAGACAAAAAAGAGAAAGACAAAAGACAAAAAAGAGAAAAGAAAAAGACAAAAAAGAGAAAAGAAAAAGACAAAAAAGAGAAAAGAAAAAGACAAAAAAGAGAAAAGAAAAAGACAAAAAAGAGAAAAAGACAAAAAAGAGAAAAAGACAAAAAAGAGAAAAAGACAAAAAGACAAAAAAGAAAAAAAGAAAAAAAAAAAAAAAAAAAAAAAAGAAAAAAAGAGAAAAAGAAAAAAAGAGAAAAGAAACGAAAAAAAAAATAGAGAAAGGAAAAAGAAAAAGATAAAACAGAGAAAGCAAAAAAAGAAATTGAGCTTATTTGGAAAAAGGCCCTAGATTCCGCATAAATAGTTTCTATCTTAATTGACAGTACATTCCTTTTATGCCCCTAAGTAAGCTGTTCTATTTTACATCAATAAGCATCTCATCCTCTAAAATTAAAAATACTGTTGCAAATAAGGCCAATCTATAAAAAAAAAAAGAAAGAAAGAAAAAACAAAATAAAAACAAAACAACTAAAAGCAACTTAGTGCAATTTATTTAAGATGTATAAATAAAGAGATAAAATGATCAATTTTATTTTAAAACTTACTAATGTTAAATGAAAACACAAAATGGTTGTTTTCTTTTATGATTTCTCACTGATGTTTGAAGGTGATAGTAAACTATTATAATTTGAGTTTCTTTTATAAATAATTTCTTTAAAAGATTTTTATTAAAATTAAAAATCAGGACTTTCCATTAGTTTATTTTCCTGTTGTGGCTAACTCATTTACAGAAGTACATAAGTACTAAAATGAACATGCGCTCACACACATTTTGCACATGACCAGCCTTCAGTTTAACTATTTAATAATCTTTTTTACTTGTCCTTTAATGTACTTTATTATTAAATTTATTTTTATAACACAAAATGTTACATGGTGGTATTATTACCTGTTTAGTAAAATTATGCACAATTTATCATTGGTAAAAATCAATTTAAAATATTGGCATTAACAAGTGTAAAAAATAAAATTTAATTAAATTAGATGAAAAGTCAAATTTCAGAATTGCGATTATTTGATTTTGTCAGTGATTCCATTCACTCTGATGTACTAATATGCAATGCTCACAATACTAGCTCACCTCCTCTACTGTTCTGATAAGGTTCTGGTAAGCATCATTTACCAAATACCAATATAAACAATTAGAAAGTCTATTGTTAATGCCATGCATACCAAAATAATGCTAGGCCATGGTAATTAAAAAAGAAAAAAAAAAGGATATCAGAATGAGAACTGCTTATATCAATACCAACTTACCCAGGAACCCTATAGATTCCAACTTCATTAAGGCCACGACGCTCAATCTCTGCAATCAGATGGACCTGTATTATTGAGAAAATTATAAATTTAAAAATACATAATATCTGTCAGATTTTTTCCTTGCTATATTTTGAAACTGAAGCAAGATCATTAGCAAATCCTTAGCAATTTAGGAAGAATATACAAAATACCGAGTTATCAAATATGATTGTATTTGTAGTTGGTTAAACACGCCTAATGCCACGTATTTTCAAAAATATCAAAATGGATATGAAGGCAAATATTTTTAGAATATCATATATTTTTAGTTTAAAATAGATAAAAATATGATTAAAAGTATCCAAAATGTGTATAATTTCCAGAAAAGGTATTATGAATATAATGAAAAAAAAAGGAGATTTCTTGCTTAACAATGCTCAATAGTGAGTTGAGGAATTCATAGTGATTGAATCAAATATTAATGGAGACAGGCCAACATACTCAAAATATCCAAGGCAAAAATAGAAAATTATTTTTACTAGTTTGTGATCATTTTGATGCTTGCTTTTCAGACAAGTTATGCAAAATAAGTCCTATAGACTGGATTTAGATGCGTGTTTGTGTATTTGAAAAGTAGATATTTTATAACAACATGGAATGCAAATGATTCACCACTTGTGGCAAGATAAAACTCACCTATAGTAAGATTCTACAAGAAAGCAGTGGTAAAGATAAAGTTGAAAAAAATAACAGGCAAAATTTTAGCTAAGAAAATTGATAAAAGAGGACTGGAAATCCAAGCCAGAAATGGTTATTTGACTTGGCTGAATCATAACTAATAATTCTGGAATTGAAAATATGATCAGGATTCACAATAGTTATGTCTTTATCTGAAAACCTAAAACAATGAGCCTCATTTGGGGACTCAATCAGTTGTTAGTCACATGCCAGAGGGACCTTTATTTGGTATTGTCATTTTCAATTCTGCCTTGAGTGTCAAGTCAAAGATCCAATCAACTAGGCCACTTTTCTAACCCAGTTCGATCATCATCTTGACAAAGTAGACCAATATGAAGAAAATCACTTTTGTACAAACCAGAATAAACACTAGGTAACAATACTTTTTCTCTTTTATAAGTTTTCTCTAACCACTGATCCCAAATGAATGGATTAAATTCAATATGCGAGCCGTACCACCCAAATCAGATGAAGGAACATGATAAAACCACTTCTGAACAGGGAATAGTATCAGCCCAGGTAAGCCCACTTATACCAAATATGTCAGCATAGGACACTAGTTGTTGACAGGGTGAGAGTAGAAATTTCACACTGACCTAGATATTTGTGTGCATTTTACAGGTGAGTTAATCTGTGGTTGGTTGAAATGGGATTTAACTTGATAAGTTGATGTGAAAATCATAGTTAACCAAATTAGTAATTTGTATTTTACTAGCATACCATATAAAGTGTTTTCTTTCTAGTGGACTGAAGGCAAAATGACAAGCATGTAATTACAATAAATTTAATCAATATTGGGAATTGCCTGGTGTTTTAAACTTCATAACTAGCCAGATCAGGTGAAACAAAAATCACTCACCTCTTACAAAAGAAAAAAAAAAAAGACAATTGGAATAAGTCAGCACAATTCTTAAAATTGGGTATTTCTTAATGTTACACCACCATTCTGCATTGACTGCCTATTGGAGTCAAGAATTCAGCTGATCCTGGCAATATGTGATATAAGGATGATATTGTCAAAACTCTACCCATGATCCTGTCATGTAAATATGCAAATTCACTTGTAAGCTATCTGAAACAAATATGTACCCTAAAATTACAGGGAATTTCCAGTAGTATTGGGCAATCATTCACAGATACATAGAATCAAGTAGTTGGCATTACCACTACTCTTTGCTCTCTACTCCATCACCCCATTTGTCTGCAGGCATGACACCAAAGTCCCTTGACTGATACTAAAACAAACTTATGTAGACCACAATATTGCAGAATTGGGAAAGAAACTGATTACTGTAACTGAACTATGTTATTGTTTCTACAAGCAAGACCCAACTGTCTTTTGTTCCCTTTTTATTTCTTCTTATAATTCACCCCCTTTGTTCCTAAGGACATTTCAACCAGCTTCAGCTAAAGTGGGTGGGAGAATTATTAGACTGGTGGTGTGAGATGTAGAAAGAAATTGGAATTTTTTTTTTTTTTTAACACATTAAAACACAAAAGCTGGTTTTTATCCAAAGATGCAGTTGGAAGATTTTTGATTTAACTACTGCTTTCAATTAGACCACTTGAAAGTAGCATTTGATGAAAAATGATCAGAATTAGTTAAAAGAAATGGTATAATATTCCATCAGGATAAAACTACACGTTTCTTAGGTACTCAAGCAAAAACTTTTTTGTCTTTACTCAGCTGCCAGATTCAGCAAATACTGCACCTTCAGATTTCTATTTATTTAGATTTTTATAGGATTAGTGAAAAGAAAAAGTTTCAATTCCCTAGAATAATGCAAAAGTTACTAAGTGCAGTTCTTTGCTAAGAAATAAAAAAAATATCTTTCATTTCACAGTTTGATGAAAATATAGTGAAACAAAACAGTAATTATAGTTAATGTTAAAAACAGAAGCTTTTATTTTTACTTAATAGGTCAACATTTTTCAATTATCCAATAATTCACCTATTAAATCTATTATCTAGACACTTAATATCAGTTGTTCTAACTTTTTCTTAGATTTTCAGTGATCCAGTCTTTTGCCTCATTCAGTAAACGTATTCAACCTTTACAGAATCCCAGGTCAGGATTCCATATTTAAAGAATGTTATTGTGCATGCTGCTTTTACCCAAACACTTCTGCACCAGATTTTTCCATTTTTAAGTGTAGCTTCCTGAAGAAAAAGTTGAACTTTTAGAAGTGAACTGGCTTCTGTTGTATTCTTTTCCATAATTGCAAGAAACCCAGTCATACTTTAGTAAGGCGGCAGCAGTGTGAGTGTGTTACTGATACCTTTATGCTCTAAACATACTATAACTCTTTTTTAGTCATTCTTTTTATATATAGTAAGCTTATTGTAGCTCCATCATTATTTTATAGGATTTGTCCTATTCCCATTTAAATACTACAGGACAAATTTTTTTGTATTTTTGGGATCAAAACTTTTTCAAAAATTTTTTGTATTTTTTTGCATCAAAACTTTCTTACATAAGCTTAACAGAAAAAAATCAGGCCAGTGTTGCAAGAAAATAAGGGAACAGAATCACCTCTATCATGAGATATGGTGAGGATTAGCTTAGTAGATTAGGTAGATTCATATATTTGCCATTTTTTTGCTTGAACTTCGATTCATTATCCCCACAAGCTTGTCCTATCTTGACAGCACTTTACCTGATTTGGCCACAAAGCATTCATGGCCTAATAAAATATAGCAATAATAAAATATTCATTTAGATCTTTTTTGTACTAATGCATCATCAATGTTCCTTGTCACTAATTCTTCCACACCCTGTAAACCTTTTTTTGTTTTAGTGGCAAGCAAGACAGTAAGCTTTTGCTTGGGGATATATATATATATATATATATATATATATATATATATATATATATATATATATAAAAAAAAAAAAAAAAAAAAAAAGCAATGAAAATCTGTTTCATCAAGCTGTATTAAAGTCTAACTCGGAAGCAATTTCAATTAGTCATTAAAAAATATACATAATCAGACTCAATATTCCTGCACTATAATGGGAAAAGGAAACAACTGTACATGTCTTGATAAAATTTTTCAGAAAACACCTACCACAATACCAGGAACAAAGGTGGACACACAGGTGCATAGTCTGCAATTATGCCCTACAAGAAAAAAATATTCAATTAAACTTAAATGAGTTTAGTTCTTTTTATGCAGTCAAGGACATTTTTGTCTAAAATGGAAAAGCCAATGTGAAAGCAAAGAGGAGGATGCAAAAAATACAAATATTTTTCACTTCTTTGAAATGGTTCAATAGCAAGGAAAAGCTATTGTTAATAATGCATAAGAGCTAGAGTGGAAAGTACAACTTACAGTATAGTCTTTTCCAGCACCAGGTGTTTTCACAGGAAGAGGAATACAGGGGAGTGGAAGTTGACTTTTTTACATTCTGGATGACAGATAATTTTGCACTCTGGATAGGAGAAAAAATGGTTTTATTTTGTAGAAATTTCCACTTATGACAATGGTAGTTCTTTAAAGATCAGAAGAAATCAGATGAAAAGTATAAAAGCGTTAAGAAAGTAGAATTTGTTTGAAATTGATAAACTACAGGTGGAATTGTGGGTAATAGAAAATCAGACTTTGAAAAATGTGAGAAAGTTTATTTTAAGTTTTACAATATCAATGAGTAAACTTAAATATCTCCAAGTATCAGGTCACTCAGGACCAATTATTTAAGGAATACATGAACTGAAAAGTACTCACCTCCAAATAGCTGCATTTTAAGAATCACCAGCAGACAAAATTCAATGTTTTTAGTTAATAAACAAAAATTTCTTGCTTTGATTCTGAACTGCATGATATATTATTACATGATAAATGATAATAAAGTTATAGCACTATCACCTTTTTATCATGCTAATGATTACTGATATATTAACTATTTGAATTGTATATACATTATATAATACTAACAGATTTATTTTAAATGCTACATTAAAAAAAACAAAAACAACTTCATCCTAAGAAATTAGATTTTACATAATCAGGAAAAGATAGTTTTTTTTTTTTTTTTTTAAATTGAAAATTTTAAAATAAAAATAAAATCTACCTTTACAACGCATTGCCATTTTACCAAATTTGATCTTGACACCACACTGGAAAACAAAAAAAATTAAAAGATTACAATATAAAAATTGCAATATGCCTTGTTCTTTGAAAATCAATGTTATTTTTATTTAATGCAAATCAGAGATAATTTATCCATACTGCTAAAAAGCTAAATTTCTTTTAGAATTAATAAATGCAGATAAGTAATAAGATTAATTTCCATCAAAATTCATTATTTCAAAATATTGTTTCCAGCTATAAAATTTCATTAGCAATAGTAACTTCCAGTCACATCTGCATAATTGAAGTTTTTCAAATAAGCTAGTCAAACTATATTAACATTAAAACTATTAAAAACTTAAGTATTCTTTCATATTAACACCCCAACACAACATGTACTATCCCACTGCTAGTAATCTTCAAGATGACCTGTCAATGAGAAATTATGGATAGTGTGGCTAAATGGATTGTCAACACTTCACCTTTACAACTCAGGGATACAGGTCTGCTGGCAATATTCTTTCTCAATACTCTCTGAATGGACATGATGTCATTAAGCTTGTGATATGAACTGAGATTGATTGGATGTCAGTCATTCTGTCCTAATTGAAATAGTTATTTTATCAGCAAATTTTAATAAAGTGTTTTAAAAACATTTGTTTTTTCAATCACAATGCCAACCCACAGGGCAAGGCATGGATCTGTTATATCAATAGAGGAACTTTTCATGGACAGTGAGAGTGATGAAGAAAAGTTTCTCAGATTTACCCACAGATATTGGCGATGTGTGTGGCAGTGAGACTGAAAAGTGATTCCGACCAAGAAGGAGGAATTTTTAAACCATCACAAGCATGCTACCAGAGATTTCCTACACTTCCTGGACCTACAAATGTTGATTAAGAAGCTAGTAAGGGTAGACATTTTCATTTTTTTTTTAACTGACAAATTTATTCAATTAATAGTAGTGGAAAGTAATTGGTATGTAAACGATGTGAAAACAAAATTAGGTGACAGCAAAGCCAACTTGCAAATCAGAGCTTGGAAAAACGTTTGCTTTGAAGAAATGAAAGCATTTTTAGCCTTTGCTTTTGTTGATAGGTTTGATAAAGCAGCCTTCATATTTGTCTTACTGGACCCCCTTTTATATATGCAAGGCTTTCACAATGTGATGAGTAGGAATCGTTTTTCATCAATTCTGTTGTATTTTTGTTTTAGTTTTCATTTTTTTCCCTCAAAATATATGTACAGTAAAAAAAAAAAAATAAAGAAAAAAAAAAGGTGTATATTTTTCTACATCTTTTCTGAAAATTTTATAACACTATCTCTAAAACCCTAAAAGTTATAAAGCGAGTAATATACCCACCATTCAAAAACTTAAATTCCTACAATACATGGATGATCTTATTTTCCTAATTTGCCAGTGATTTATTATAGGTGTACAGTGTAATGGAAAGATTACTGAATAACAGCAGAAAATAAAATTGGTGAGCTCAAATTCGGGCTGAGACACTGTGTTCACTCTTCCCTTGGGGAAAAGATATGAACCCATCTCTCTTAACCAGTCTAGGAGATAAAGAAGTTGGAATTTAAAACAAAAGTAAAGACAATGGGGAAATACTATTTTCCTCTAATAACATTCATGGAAATGAAGTTATACAGTTAGAAGTATTATGGAACTTTGAAATTAAAATTGTTTTCATGATTCTTTCTCCACTGGAAATTTTTGTGTCTTTGTTTCAGCCATTTTTTTTTTTTTAAAATTGACCTGATCATTCATAATTGGGTTTGATTTGAAGTACATGTACCCAAAGGCTGAACACTATGGTAGCACCTTTCTCATTGCACTAAGATGGAGAGCTTCAAGGTCAGTCCCTGGCACACCAGTCAATCTGGAAACACTGAGGAAGCTGAGCGATATTTGTTACCAATCTAATGTCCACATAAGATTCCCACTTTAAACATGACCTTGCAATATACTCTGTAGATGTGCAGATAACTACCTTTCTTTTTGTAAGTGTCTGCTAAACCTAAGTATGTTTCAATAGAATTTATCTTGATAATGTCCTTGGAAAATACTGTTTACCTGCTTTAAAAAGAAAAGGTAGAGTCACAATTGACAGGGCTCTAAAGATAAACAAATAATAAAAAAAATAAAATTAAAAAGAAATAATAATAAAAAATAAAAATTAAAATAAAAAATAAAATTAAAAGAAATAATAAAAATAAAATTAAAAGAAATAATAAAAATAAAATTAAAAGAAATAATAAAAAATAAAAATTAAAAGAAATAAAAAAAAATAAAATTAAAAACTCATAATAAAAAATAAAATTAAAAGAAATAATAAAAAATTAAATTAAAAGAAATAATAAAAATAAAATTAAAAGAAATAATAAAAAAAAAATTAAAAGAAATAATAAAAATAAAATTAAAAGAAATAATAAAAAATAAAATTAAAAGAAATAATAAAAATAAAATTAAAAGAAATAATAAAAAATAAAATTAAAAGAAATAATAAAAATAAAATTAAAAGAAATAATAAAAAATAAATTAAAAGAAAAATAAAAAATAAATTAAAAGAAATAATAAAAATAAATTAAAAGAAATAATAAAAAATAAATTAAAAGAAATAATAAAAAATAAATTAAAAGAAATAATAAAAAATAAATTAAAAGAAATAATAAAAAATAAATTAAAAGAAATAAAAAATAAATGAAAGTAGCAAAAGATTATCTGAATACAAAATTGTATTGAACAAAATTTTTCAGCTTGTTTCAGGTAAGCTGTGGTAGAAAAAGTAATAGTTAATGTAACTTACTTTTTATAAAAGGACTAATCAGGCTTAAACTATAAGTTCAAGCTTGATTAAATCTTTTATTTTTTTTTAAATTTATTATTCAGAAATATTATAGTTTTAGAATAGATGAAATAAATACTCACAGGCTGACAATATTCAGGCTTTATTACAGTTTTGGACATGAAGATATGAATTTTGTTCAGACCAGATGAAGCAGAATTAGCTTTTCGTAGAAAAGGAGAACTATAAATAGAGGGAAAAAATTAGGATAAATGAAAATGCACCTTGATCAACCCAAAATTGTAAAACAAGTATTAGCAAAAACCTGCTATTTTATGGAAACTTTTTATGTCTGTTGACCACCAAAATCTACATAATGTCATTAAAATGCTTGATAATATACTCATGTTAATTGCATGTGTTAAGGAACACCTTCATCTTCCCCTTTTAGACAAGGTGTGTGTTTGTGTGTGTGTGTATATATATATATATATATATATATTAATAGGTCTGGGATCTGTAAAAATGGTGAGCATCAATCTATTAAGTATACAGACCAATTCAGATCTTCAAAGCTAAACAAATCACAGTTTATTTTTAATATGAAGAAATAAAAATACAATAAGCTAATGCTAAGCCACTACATTGCATTAATAGTGATTAATTGGTATGCTATTAATTAGAAAGAAGAGGAAGGTTGATGAGTAGATAAGCAATCCAATTTGATGGCCCTGTAATTTTGTAACTTTGATAACCACTTATTATGATATTATTAACCTTACTATTGAGAATTGTACCACAAAAGTTTCTTCTTTGGTTAAAGCTGGCATTGATGCTTTTTTCTTTTTGTAAATTTCTCATAAATACCAGATGAAACCACAATCTTCTGCTTGGTTTGTGTCCGCACATAACTGCAAATGTGTCTTCAAAGTGGATAAGTCTTTGCTGAGACACCGTATAGCCTCTAACAAGTTTGTTTCATGTGACTACTGGATGCGCTATGGCAATGTGTTAAATAAAAGTAAGTTTCCTATATCTCCTCTCTTCACACAATTTGAGTAGTTAACATCAGCTAATAAAGTAGAATATTTTGCTCGTAAATTCTTTTTAAATTCTACTTGACTCAAGTATCTTTGTCTGACTTTCTAGTCTCATGGTTTCTGGTAACATCTATAAAATGGATCCTCAAAAACCATGTGAACTTGATGGCATCTCTGCAGTAGTCCTTAAATAATGAGCACCTGAACTGGGTCCTGTTCTCTCTAAATTCTATATCTTGCTACTTCTTGCTTTCCTGCTCATTGGAAATTCTCTTCTATAGTTCCAGTTTTCAAGAACTCAAGTGAACCTTCTATGGTTTTTTTTTTTGGGGGGCAAAATACTAGATGCTCTAATCAACACTGAATTGATGCATCTCACCCCACATGGTCTTCTTTCAGATAAGCAATATGGCTTTCACTTCTCTTAATGTATTAACAATTATTGATTAAAGATTTTTTTCTTCTTCTTTAAATAGCATAATTTTCAAAAATATTACACAAGACCAAAAAATAAATGTATTTGAGTTTTTCTGACATTCTTTATAACCAACATTTCATGTGAAAAAAATGTGTTAAAGAATTAACTTTTTATTGTCAGTCATCACCTCATTTATTGTCAAATGTCACCTCACCCACCCAAATTGATTTACATTGATTGATGTGAGATATTCATGTTATAAAAATAAATTTAATGTTTTGTAAATAAAATTTGGGATTTTGTTTTTAGCATAAGAAAGTAACTCTTTTATATATCATTGTCTTGATGATACAATTATTTTTATTTTTTGTGTTCACAATATTGAGTTTTTTGCCAGTCAGATAATGGCTATTATTGACATTTTTTCTAATTAGAGAAAAACTTTAACTTTATAGCCATTTAATTAAACTTTAATTAATTAAAAGCATAGTTTTTTTTTCTTTGTAACTTTCTGCTCATATGCTTGTGATGAAAGTAAACCAATCACTTTTTAAATTGCTAATCATTTTTTGACATGAGATTAACATATAATTCATAAAAAAAAAAAAATGAAAATTTTGTGCTTTTAAAAAGTGACAAAAATTACTTAATGGTAAAAACTTACTCAGAATCTGATTGTGTTCGTTGATGTGAGGACTTTGAATTCCTTTTCCTGGACCTGGGTGTTTGTCCTGGACGAAGTGTCCATACTTCTTCCTCATCAGAATCTGAAAATAATTTATTTAATCAAAAAATCAATTGTGACCAGATCACTTCTGGACACCAAAACCAAATTCCAAAATTAATGACTTTTCATTAGGTACCTCCACTTGCTCAATGAAAAACAGCATAGCATGATGAAAAAAGGCCCCAAACTTAGTAAAAACAGTTTTATTGTCAAAATGATTAAAAAGAAATATCAAAATATGTCTTTATAATTTTTTTTTTCATGTGTGAAATTTTGATTTATTACTTTTTTTTTTTTTTTTACATCAGCAGTCAATGTTGATTTACGATTAGTGCTTTTTTCCTGGTGAAAAACACATCGATTTGAAAATATTTCAAAGAGTCAAATTGCCAGATTTTAATGAAACTTTCAGGACTTATTCACAAATAAAATTATTTTGAATTTTCTTTTTTTTTTGCCATGAAACCCATGCTTACAGGGGGCAGACACTATTTTTCAGACACTTTATTTTTTCAAGTTTTAGGTAGTACAGGCACTCTGTACTGTTTTAATGTAATGGCAATAACATTTAAAAACTGTTTCAATACTACAAATGGAAAAGCAGAATTCAAATTAGAAGTATTTTTATTTTTTTATAAAATTTTCACAGGCAACAGTATTTTTCGGACATTGCAGAAACAATGCTAATAGTTTATGGCAGCACTCTTTTTTTCAATGACTTCTATCAGTCTATCTTCATAATGTTCGTACATATTGATAATAACGTCTATTCATGTTTCTAGCAGTCTATTTTTAGCATCTTGTATGTGCTGCCACAGTTCAGACTCTCTGGTTATTTCTGGCCCATCGTAAACAAGCTATGCAAGCATTTCCCATATGTTTTCAATTAAATTTAAGTCTGGACTTCTTGCAGGCCATTCCAGAGTAGTTATATTTGCTTCACACATCAAATTTTTCACCGATTTGGCCACATGGATGCTGCAGTTATCTTGCTGCAAAATAAAATTATTTCCCATTCCTTTTTCTATGAGTGGTAGGGCTCTCTTTTTCCAAAAGTTCTCTGTAGCTCAAGCTATTTTGACATCCTTTTAACCACTTGAGCCACAAGTTTCCATTCGGAAATACCATACCCCAAACCATGACTCCTCTTCCTCCCATCTGTCTCTTGCTGAGAATAACAGGTTCACCTTTTCTTGACCATGTACACCACCCGTCAGGTCCATCGAACTTAAAACGTTTTTCATCAGTAAATATCACTTTCTTGAAGTTGACATGGTTTGTTATCCATCTTTTGGCGCTTCCCAGCCTTGCCTCCTTGTGTTTTCTCGTTAGTGTAATTCTTTTCTTGATTTTAGCATACTTAAGTCCAATTTCGTGTAGCTTTCTTTGTACAGTTCAAACACTGACGTCAAGTTCGCACTTCTCCTTTACTTTCTTCGCTGTCACCTTTTCTCCAGATGATAACAACCTCGTAACACTCCTCTTCATTCTTCTTTCTGTTCTCTTGAAATTGTTTTTTTTTTTTCTCTCTTCTTCTTCCGCTCATAGTCTGTACTTAGCATGTATTCAACTGTTAACTTCGGTAGCTTCATCTCAGCGGCGATCTTTTGGATGCTGAGCCCCGTCTTCTCTCTTTTTTGGACCAAACTGATGACTTCTTTTGAATGCATTCTTCTTCAGGATTTTAATACGTTTTCGCAGTGAATGGTAAAGATACTCAAATATAATGGTCAGGGTACAATTTACCTGCAGAAAATTTGCATATTGTAGACGTTTGACAACTAAATCATTAAAAAACCCGGAATTTGTGTCATGTCCGAAAAACATTATCGCCTAAGTTGAAGTAAAAATAAAGAAAACATGAAACCAGAGACAAACCCATCAATCAATGTTCATACCATTAATGGACAGTTACTGGTGAACTACCTACTCATCAACACAAAAGCTCTCGGCAGCAAGAAATACATTTAAACACACTTTTCAAAGTGTCCCCAAAATAGTGTCAGCTCCCTGTACTAGAAATAGTAAATTTAATCATTTAGTTTTCAAATAAAGCTAAAATGGAGGTACCTACTTTTCAGATTTGTACAGGGGTTCAATTCTCTCTGGTTCTCTGATCAACTTCATTTTATGTCTAATTTAACTTTTAATTCTCCATTTCTTTTCCCATTTTCCTCCTAATTATTTAAGATATCCCTCTAGGAGTTTGTGATTTCTAACTTTTAATTCTCTCAAATCATCATTTTGCATTCTCTTGCAACTAAATGTTGAACCAAGGTTAGCAACCTGTTACATGAATTTAATGTGGAAATATATTAATGTAATATTTAATTACTCTAGGAGAAAAATAACAGGAAAATTTAGAGAATTTAAATTAAAGTAAACATGAAAGGCAAGTTTCAGCAGAAAACTGCAACATAAAGGGAGATAGCACAATCTTGACAAAAATGTTTGTTTTAATATTTTTTTTTTTAAATTGCATTCATTAACACCTTGACAGATGAACTAAGAAAATATTTCTAATCAAAGAATTACATAATATTAAATGACTAAAAGGAAATCAGTCTTAGAACAACTGATTTCATTACATTAATGAATCATTTTGATAGAGACTTTTAATGTAAGAAATGTTCTATACTTTGCAGTCTAGTAAAAACAATAAGCAATATTCTATGGGGAGAGAAAATACACTACCAACCATGCATGGAAACTCACCACACCCAGACTTTTTGAATTGTACATCAAGCAATGGTTCACTGAAACTTTTGTTCAGCTTGGGCATATTAATCTGTGTTGTAGTTGTTGCATGGGGCTTTCCAGATTCAGGATCAAGATGAACACTGGTTCGTGTCACTATTGAAGTGTCAGCCTTTAAAGTGGGGGAGAGAAAATAAAATTAAAATATATACATGTTCATCCTTTTAAGACAAATAGTATTTACAAAAATGATTGAGAGACATTCCAGTGAACTTTAAGGGATTTATATTACTCTTAAAATATGTGAAAGAGTTAAAAGGACAAATTATGGTACAGTATTGTCCATAAATGAGTACACTATTGCCACATTTTTATTTATTTATTTATTAAGAAAGTTAATTTTTCTACTAAATCAAACATAGCAAGATTTCTAGTGAAATATTATACAATCACAATGGATATTATTTATGACCAAACTCAAAAATACTGATTTTTTCCTTAAAATCAGGACTAACACTCACAAAAAAGATTTTTTTTTTTAAATAAATAAATTCCTATATAAAAAGGTTTGTAAAAATCAATATTTGGTGTAACTGTCTGTTTTCTATTACTGCTAGACCTCACTAGATTTGTGCATTTTCACCAACAGTATGCAAGTATTCTTTCAAATCTGTCTTGCTGGATAATTTATTCGACTACTCGTTTTTATTTAAATTAATATATCACTAAATTAAAATTAAATCAATTATATCACTAGGTTAATCCCATATACTTGCATCTTCAAAAATCGTTTTTTTTTTGTTTTTTTTTTAAGCAGAGTGCTGAATTTGTATATTTCCCTGTGTAAATTTTAAACAGACATATATATAACTTGATTTCAGTATTTGTTTCCTATGTGGTCATTGGTCATGTATACAAGCCAGTCTTATTCAGGGTTATAGTAGAAACATTCATGGTACAGACATTTTTGATTTCATTAACAGTATTCGTAACCAATCATCTGATAAAATGAACAGTTCTTGGTATTAGTTTATATGGTTGGCCAAATTGTCTCTGTATACCTCCAACATTTCCACTTTTATGGTTGTGCTCAATTTTGGTAAGTGTTTTTTCTCAACTTCAATCATCTAGTAATTTTTGTACTTGCTGATCATATCAAAGAAATATAGTTTTTCAAATCAGAAAAGAGATCTTGTCCAGATTATTATTACAATCTATTAGTCAACTAACATTTAACATTACAGGCTTTATATTTAAATCCCCTAATAGGGAATTTATAAGGAAAAAAAAAAAATTTTTTTTAAAATAAACTTATATAATTCAATTTTGGACAATATTGTTATATTTTAGCAATTGAGTTTCAATGCTGCAGTTTATTTATCCATTTTGATTGCACAAAGTTTTACAAGAAATAATAAAATCTTGCCATATTTGATTTAGAAGAAAATTAATTTTCTATATAAAAAAAAAAGGGGTGGGTAAGCATGTACTCATTTATGAGCAATATTGTGAAAAAAGAAAAATATCTGATCTACACAGTTTGTTAATAGGATACAGTGTTAAATGTCCAAACTTTTTTCTTGCCTGAAAACACATTATTTATTTATGCCCAAACAAATTTATGTATGAACAATTTAATACAAAACTTAATTATCAAATCTTTACAAAATAGTGAAATTTTTCCACAGGTTAACTAAAAAAAAAAAAAAAAAAAAAAAAAAAGTAGCTCCAGAACCCAAGTTGACAACCAAATTATGTTATTCTGTATGTTCATTAAAAAGGAAAAAATGCTTTATTTTATCTTGAATGCACCTTGTAATTTGTTACATTTTGTTAAGTTACAGTAATCTGTCTTCATGATACTGTATTACATTTTTTAGATGTTACAAAAGACAGTTGTATTAAATTAAGAACCCCATTAAAGACTATAGCTTATTTTCACTGTGTAGATATATTTTTGGAGTTTTATCACAAGTAAAATCATTTGAATATTCCAAATGACAAGACTAGCTCAACAGATAATAGAAACTATACTGGAAGTTTCAATTCTTCATGCTTGTAAGTGAAGAGTATCATATTGCCTTCTGTAGTTTTATACTGCCAAATCCTTGGTAATACAGCTGCTATCATCTATGCATGCCAGACTAAGGCTTGAATTAGTGTTTGAGGTACAATTCAATTTTAAGACTTGTTTGTGGCATGTGCAAGAATTTCTTAATTTTAGAAATTCAAAAGGTGACTTACATCACGACTAGTTCTTTTCTTTTTAGGTGGGGTACCTTCTGTCTGGAAATCCTTAGAGACTGAAACATCAAGGTCATCATCAGTAACATCATAACTGATGTCTGAAAGGCAGGAAGCAGAGGATTCTCGCATGTGATTGTCAGTAGCCCTGCATCACAAGAGAGTAAATAGTGTGATAAGACTAGAATTTTTAGGAAAAGGGTTTACATTATTCATTTAAAAAAACAAAACAAAAACGTTGTTATACTTATGTTACCTTTCCTTTCATTCATTTTCACCTTAAACTTTACACAAACCTTATCTTTGATTATATTGAATTTATTTCCTTTATTTTCATTGACAAACAAAAAAATCAAAACATGAAAAACTTTGGCACTTTAGGTAACATGTTCCAAAATATTTTCAAAATTTCAATAAACACCACATCTTGGATTTTGGTACTTCACCCACGTTCCCACTTCTAATGGCATATCTTCTACAAATTTAATAAAAGACTATAAAAAACTAATTACAGCAGTTAAAGCCCCATATATGCAAGTTCACTTGGCAATACTTTCACTGAACTTTCTACAACATAGTATTAATTGTGAAAACAGGAAATTCTTGACCTAACAACCTAAATCCTCAATCTCATGCCTGTTAAATTGTAGGAAATGAAGAGGATGCAAGTTTTAAAACATAGTTGTAAAACACACACACACACACATCAATGAGATGAAGAAATAATAAAGAGAAAAAAAACAAAAAAACATGTCAAGCAAACAAGGACATTCCCGATTGCATTGCATCTCTTCTATAAGATGGTGGAATTAAGAAAAAAAAAATCCTTACTTTCTCTTCCCAACATCTGATCGTTGGTAAGAATTCAGGAATGCTAATTTCTTCATGTCTTTCTCATCCAACACTGATTTGTTTTTATCATTCAGCAAACTTTGAATCATCTCAATTAGTTTTTCCTGGAAAAAAAAATAATAAAAAATAAAGGATTATAAAAAAATCAGTTGAATATATACAAGTATTTTAGCAAACTTCAATATTAATATCATAGTCTAAGATTTTTCTAATGTATTACTTTATACACAATTTTTAATTTTTGTGTGTTTGGAACTCTTTTCCATTCTACACCAGTTTAGCAAATCATTCTTAGTGATTTGTTTTGAAAATTGTAACTGTAGCGTGTCCTCAAAATTTTACAAGGAATATATAAAAATGAATAATATCTCAAACAACTCATGTTAGTAAAACGAGGAACAATAAGTGAGCAATACTAACAAAGTGAGGTAAATCAATCCAGATTTGTTCGTCTGATACTCGTCAGGTAACATGGATGAAATTTCAGTGACAGAATTCTTCTTATACTGTTTTATTAAATTTTACTTTGTTTATGCTGTACTTGATTTTATTTATTTAAATGTATTGATTTTTGAATGGGTAAATGTATGCAAAAGCAGTCTTGCAAGGGGAAGGACAGAAATGAGACATTTTGAAAGAATGATAGAGAAGTGGGAGGATGAAAAGGTTGAAGGAGAAAAATTTGTACAAAGCATTTCAGGATACCAGTCCAGATTTCTTTTGGCCAAATGATTGGGTATTGTGGACGACATTTCAGTGGTAGAGAGGACAGAGAAGTTCTCTTATCTTATTTATTCTCTATTTGGTTTTATTTATTTTTCAATTGGTAAATGTATATTTTGGCATGTAATCATCTTTTGTTAGCCTAATCAGTCTGACCCCCAAACTGGATTTATTTGTACACCTATCTTGGCATATTTGTTCTACATTTTTTTTAAAAAAAAAAGACAATGTTAATTTATTTTGATAGAGGATATTCTAACTTATATAGTTAAAACTTAACAGATAATATACTGTCAGTTCTCTAACTCAACCATAACACACATATTCAGAGTTAATCCTACACTTAACCCCATCTATGTTACCCAGACCCCACAACACACACTGCCCTTTCATTCTAAATCCACTTTATTCTATTTTTATCCTCATTTACTTATATGCAATGTTTCTACTTAGATTCTATAATTTTATTTACTATTTACTTATTTTTTCTTGTTTGGGATTGGTTTTCTGGTTCCTTCTAAAGCCAACTTCAACTCTAAACGTCTAATGTCTGTTTATTGAAATTTTATTCACTAATTATTATTATTATTTCCACCCTAATCTCCCAATAGAAGTAGATAGGTTTGCCTATCATCTGGTTCATATTCCTTCCTAGTCTTTTGAACAGGAATACAGGTTTATCGCTTGTTTCCAGTTTCTTCTAAAGTTTGTTCATTCACTTATGTTTTCCCAATCACAACAATCTTGACCTCTTCAAGTGTGGAGTTAGACTACCTTTCCTGCATAGCACCAAGAACTTGACTTTTCGCACTTTCTTACATTCATACAACACCACACAGTACCCTTACTAGTATTGGCTGAACATTAGTTAAAAATCTAGTGAATGTTTTGAGCTTCATGTTTTTTTTTGGCCAGGGATTAAAGATTAGTATCTTTTTCTCAATTCTTTGTTCAAGGTGAAAAAAGTAACAGGGGACGGATTTTCCACTCAAAATTTTCCTTAATTTCATATTCACTTTTGGTTAATTCTATTTTTATTATATTGCATGTTAAAATTTAAACCAAATATACTATATGTCTGTGACATAAAAGTTCTACCTCTGTACAGAGTGACTTCGTAGTCACTTGACTATGCAAAATAGGGCAAGTCCTTATTGCCCATGTCACTAGATTTTATACCGTTTGTTGATGTGTGACTTCTCTGAACAATAGTACAAAATCGTGTGTGTGTGTGTGTGTGTGTGTGCGCGTACACACACACTTCTTTTTTGAGTGTGGATCTAAGTCTGGACTAACCTTCATTCTGGGTATGTCAAATCATCCAGATAAATGGAAAGTGGTCACCCTTACCTTACGTATTTTCTTCAAATTTTAACCGGTAGTAGGTATCATTAAAACAAGACAATCCTGAAAATTTGAGCATCTAAGTCTAAGCTGTTCAGAAAATATGCCATTTTTAAGATTTTGTGTGAAACACAATTAGTGAGAAAACCACAGCTTTATAAAATTCCTTTTTCTTCAATAAAATCCCATCCAGACATGCTAGAGCCATGAAAATTTGCACAGGTAAGTTCTTGAGTGAGGAATCCAAAAAAATGACACCAGAAACACCTAGAAATCAATCATTTTTGAGCTATACAACAATTTGAGCAAATTTTGGTATGTGATATATATATATATATATATATATATATATATATATATATATATATATATATATATATATATATATAAAAAAAAGTGGCACTAGAGGTAAATGAAAAAACTTTTTTTTTTAATGTGTTCCATATTACAATCATGAATGGAATCAAAAATGAAGTCTTCCCTCATTGTTGGCCCACAGTTGACAATCGAAAATGGCCATTGGTATATAGACCTTATATTTAATCTCCAGAATACACTCCAAGGGAGTTCAATATCAATGGATTTTTCAGTAAGATGGATGTATAACTAAAGTGACACTATTTTCATGCCTTAGTCTTAAGGCTTTAATTAGGTCAAATGGTCATAAAATAGTACAACAGTAGAGAAACAAAAACAATCCCACAAGAAATATTCACATCTAGAAAAATAATCCACCAACCAAAACATTTGATTATATTTTTATCTAGGAATGAAGTTTAACAAATGCAGCTACAGTTTTGTTGTAATCTACATCACTTATCTTGTAAGGGGGGGGGGGGCTTCTACTAATTAGGAGAACCTACAATTTGCCATCAACCATGGCGTACTTCACAACAGGCATTCTCAAGAAAGATGCGGTGTGTGATGTACTGTCCACAGATAAAAAGCAAACATAGCAGATTGAAGGCACAGTGATTCACATCTTTCTGGTTTGGTTTGGTTTTGCCAGAAGCAGAAACAATGAATAACTATGCACTTCCTGTGGGGAAATTTAACCCGAAGTGCATACAGATGTCATTTTGTGAGTTGCTGTGAATGGTCGCAGTTTTGTTTTTCAGGCACATGATTTAACAATGAGATAAGTTTAGGGGTTTGTTTAATTCAGTGGGGAATTTAGAAACTGTGTCTTCAGGCCCATTTTTAGTGTCCAAGAATGAAAACTGCAATGATTTCTTAATTTTAGGCAGAAAAAACAAAAACAAAGAAGGGGAAAATCAAGGTGTCGCAATTAGCATTTAGTGTCTCAATTTGCATTTTTATGTGAATGAATTGTTTAACTATCACTGCCTTTTCAAACATTTCAGTGATTTTTTTGTTAACATTATTTTGTTTGAACAAGTGGACATTGTTCTTTTTCTTTGTTTCTTAATCCTAACAAATGGGATTCAAATCCTGACATTTTAAATAGTACAAAATTGAAAGTTGTATAAAATTCAGAAATGAAAATAATATTAGGGGGAGCCTAGAAAAATTTTTTTTTTCCAGGAGACCTAGAGCCATGTATGAAACCATGAGGGGGGGAAACTAATAATACTGATGGGAGGGGAAAAGCAGGAGGAACGGATTGGTTCTCTTGTTGAGATTTCTCTACATACGGGTACCATTCTTTGAACATTTCTTTACATATGAGTACTTTTCTGGTGAAATAGTCATTTCAGAAGTAACTGTTTTAGGTTTATTTAGGAGTTTTGTTAGATAGGTTACGAAAAGAAAATTTTATGAAGAAATGATATTTCATATTTTATATTTGATTTGGTGCATTGTCTGTATATTGGAAATCAGGAAGATTTCCAAATTTTTTTTTTTTATTCAGGTAACAACAAACATGGCTGAAAAAGAAAAAACCTGTGATTTTGGTGATCTGTTGAAAACACCATATCACAAGCTGGATTTCAGAACATCTGGAATCAAATAGCTTGCTGATTTCAATGTAGAAGTTCAAGATACATATTTGTGGAGAGTTTGTCTGTTGGAAAATAAACATGAAGGTATGATAATTTAATATCATCATGAACAACTCTTTGGTAATGTATTAGAATGAAGAGTAAACAAATGCTGTGATGTAATAATAAAACAAACGTAAGGTTGACCTCAAAGCTAAAAATATTGATGTGATTCCTGGTCTTGTTATGTCGTCAATGCATTGCTAAATTCAAAACGGTTACAACTACAAACACAAATTCTGTTGAATCAGAGATGGAAGATGACACTCCTTTCAATGATATTGATGAATCTCCAAACAATGAGAACTATAATTTATGCAAAATGCCAAGAAAAAGATTGAACACAAATTTGGAAACAGTTATTTCAGCAGTGAATTTGCATGGAGTGCCTCAGCATTGTCGAGCAACAAGTGCAAAAACAAAGCTTGAAAAAGTTATGCACACATACAAGACCAATATTTTTGAGGTGTATCAAATAAATGGATTCACTGGATGACACTGGTTCTGTCAAAACAAATGATGGTTTGGTTTGTTTTACAGCATATCAACCTCAATGGGTTATTTAATGCCGACAACTTTTTTTTTTTTTTTGTCAAAAATCTATTTCTGGTAATAATTTTTTCCTCAAAATTGTATTGCTGGTAATATTTTAATTTTTCAAAAATGTACTGCTGGTAATATTTTTTTTTTACAAAGTATTTCTGGTATGAAAGTGTAAAAATAGGTTTTACCTATTTTTACACTTTCATAATGTTTTTTTTTTTTACCTCAATTTCAGGGGTCAACTATTTGCCCATAGCTGAGACCCTAACAGGTGCTTCCACCCCAGCAACCCAGCAATTAAGAGGTGGTTCCATGCTCTTCAAAGCCTCTTGATCAGAGGCCTTGCTGTTGGACGTAGTTTATCGTCTTACCCTGGACGCAGATGTAATTTATCGTCATACCCAGGAAGGTCAAAACAAATAAGGTACAAGAGAAAGCAGCAGGGCTGGAGAGACTACACGATGCCATGAGGGAAAAAAAAAACTGATAAT